GATGTGTTAGAATTGACAAAGCCACCTGGCTGTGTGAGAATCCTAACGTGTGTGTCTGTGTGTGGTGGGTCGGCAGGTCTGGCGAGGGCCAAGTCCGTCCCGACTAAAACGTATTCCAACGAGGTGGTGACACTTTGGTACCGGCCTCCGGATGTTCTGCTGGGATCCTCAGAGTACTCAACACAGATCGACATGTGGTAGGAAGCATACAAGGACTTCTACTAATGCTTTTTTTTACATTTACAGTGGATCAAATGACTGTCAACCGCACAACACTTTTCTGTTTAGTTACTAATGTGTTGTTTTAGATCACATGAATCCCTGTGAACCCTCCCCTGCATGTTAGCTGATGTTGTGTGCGTGTCTCTACAGGGGTGTCGGCTGTATATTCTACGAGATGGCTGCGGGTCGGCCTCTGTTTCCAGGCTCCACGGTGGAGGACGAGCTCCACCTCATCTTCAGGCTACTGGGTGAGCGTCTCCTGCCAGAGCACATCACCACAAGTGTTTACCTGTTCAACCTCATGTGGCAACATATTGCTCAGTACGTCTGATTGGTTGTGACTGTGTGACTTCAGGCACACCCACAGAGGAAAACTGGCCGGGAATCTCCTCCATCGAAGAGTTTAAATCCTACAATTTCCCCAAATACAAACCACAGCCGTTAATCAACCACGCCCCCAGGTACTGCGGTCTGTGTGTTTGTTTTTCTGTGCGCCCGTGTTCTCTGTACATACAGTGAAGGCTTATATTCTTGAGCGTGTGAGTGTGTGTGAGCTACAGACAGGAAATCCTGTAGAACATTTCAGAGATGTCTGTCCACTTCCTTCCTCCCATGAGTCCCCACATTCCCATCGGCCCGTGCTGCAGGCAGACAGTAAACTGTTGCTCTTCTTTTTCGTCTTTAGGTTGGACGGTGAAGGCATCGAGCTGCTGCTGTCTTTCCTCAGAGTGAGTGTTTACTTCCGTCACAGTACCCAGAATGCAACTCACTCTAAACTGATTTATGTTGCTTCGTGTTTGGTTTTCTCATCCTTAAGCAGTGTTACATATGAAACTAATACATTTTAAAAACTGTTGACTGTTGAACCCAAGCAGTTTCTCTGTGTTTTTTTGCTCCTTTCACATTTTGACTCGCTGTGAACTCATTTTTCCTGGAGTTATAAAGTCCTGCATCGCTATGGAAACAACCATGACTAGAAGGAGAAAGTACTCAAAAATGTATTATGTGCAGCACCATGATGCCGTGCATCATAAAAAAACAAAAACAAAATTTCTTTAAATATTCATTTACTGCATCTTGCCTCAAATCTGCACACAGTTTGAGAACCAGCGGTCCAGCCTGTGTGGATCATTTTATCCGAGTGTGTTTTCAGCTCCAGCAGCATGAAAGTTGTGTTATGTTTAGATGCTGTCAAACTTGGCCAGCAAAGTAACGCTCGCCTCACTTCAGTTTGCTGTGTTTATAGCTCAGCTAATCTCGAAAAGCACTTGGACAGTGACAGGAGTTATGATTTCAGACCAACGTACAACCGCCTGTGTTGTTACTTGAAGGTTTTGTCACAAGATGACGCCTAATTTAGCTTCACTTGCTCAAGAAGTGGAGGTAGGGGACACTTAAAAACCCAGTCATATGGTGGAATACATTTGTTATATTTCTGCTGTGGCCGTGCAATACGTGTTTTTAGTATTGATTTATTTCCTTTTTAGGCCCGTAGTGCATCTGAAACGGTTTCTAATTTTATTTATTCGGGTACCCGTCTTTGCCTTTTTATCACTTCCAGGTTTTTGTATTTTTTTTATTGTGTCTGTGCTCATAATTTCATTCTAAGTTCATTTTAATTTCTTTTAAGGCATTAAGTAGTGTTAATAGTATTAATTAATTAGTGTAACTAACTTTGCTTGAGTGGCTGTTTTTGTTGGCAACATGATGAATATGTAAACGTACAAATACAAGAACAAAAAAATGCTTTAATGCTCGTGGTTAAAGACACAGAACATAAATCACAACATCATCCTCAGATCACATCCGCCTGTAGTTGTGTGTTGTATGTTCAATATTCACGTAAGCATCATAGGCATGGATGTTAATGTTCGGTTACTGCCAGAACTAATTCATCTTCTGTTTGTTGTGAGGAAATGTCCCAATATAACTGTGTGTTTCCCCACAATAACAACTCACACAACACGTTTCAGTGAGTCTGTTCTCCACCGCTGCTGCTTTATTTGCGGTTCTATTCCTTCGGTGCCAGTTGTAGACAACAGGGGGCGCAGTGCTGTCAGTGTTTCCCTTGCCACAGAATTTTCAGTGAACAAACACATGGTTCCTGTTTCTAGCGTCTTTCACAATGTTTCTAGGTGAATTGCTGATTGCAGACATAATAACAACCTACCGCAGCATTTTCTGCTAAAATCACAGGATGATTAATGCCATCTGTTTTTGTCTCCGCAGTACGAATCCAAGAAGAGGATTTCAGCTGACGAGGCGATGAAGCATTCCTACTTCAGGCAGCTCGGGATGAGAGTGCACACGCTGCCTGAGAGTGAGCACACGCGGCTTAATAAGGCTGTCTGTCTTTGGCTTTCTCTTTTTTTTGTCTTGCTACCTACTGCAGACTGAAGCTCTCCCCTGTGTTTCAGGCGTATCATTATTCACATTAAAAGAAGTGCAGATGCAGAGAGACCCCGGCTACAGGAACTCTTCGTACCCGGAGTCAGGTGGGTGAGGAACACATGCAGACACTTCAGCACCTCAGCTTGTTAGACCATAAACCCTCTGAACGCCAAGCAGTTTCTACCTGTTTTTCGTTCCTGTCATATTTTTTTTACACACTGTGGGCTCGTTTTTCACTGTGATATAACATACTGCATCTCTATGGAAACAGCACAACCATGGCTAGACGGAGAGAGACAGTTAAAATACAAAACAGAACTAACGAAACATGTTGCCAAGGTGTGTGCAATACTGGAGAAAAAAGAGGTTACTGTGCATACTATAAATATTTTAGTAGTTACGGTTTTAATTTGTTTCCTGTGTGCTCTTTGTAAACACCGCCTGCAGTTCAGCTGAAAAGTCCCTGAATTTCTGTTCCATGACTGTAGATCGTAGCTGAGTCAGTAAGAACTTCACAGGTGCCAATTCTGCTGGAGAAGGAAAACTTTTTCTTTTTTTTTTTTTTTTTTTACAGAATTTTTTTTTTTTTTTTTTTACAGAATCTGGTTCATAAAGGTGTTTGACTTTGGTGAATTTTGAAATGAGACATGCAGGATAAGGTAGTTTTGAAGAAATGCCACGATTTTCTGCCAAACTACATGTCACCAATGAGCAGTTTAAGGACGATTGGGAAGTTTAACACCCAGCGATTGTCTCTGTTTTTAGTTTCTAGAATGGTGGAGTTTGGGTGTTTAAAGTGAACCCTGCTGGTAGAAGAAAAAAGTTTCTTGCTATATAAATATGTCACAATCATCAGAAAGCTGACTGAGACGGAGGCTTTTCAGTGTTGGTTATATTTGATGATGGTCGTTGAAGGGGCACGCCAGTTATTTACCATTAAAGTTGGACACTCACAAAAGGCAGATTAATAAAAGCAGGACTAAAAGCTACAGATATCCTGACTTTTAGTGCCTGGTTTAGCTCAAGTTTATACGTTTCTCATAATTCAAATAGAATAGTTTAGAAGAGTCGGATTCCTTGTTACAACTAAACTGAGCATCATGTGTAAAGTCAGAGCTTCCTCATTTGGCAACAATGTCATATTGTGTAAACCACACGGCATTGTGGGTATTGTATTTTTAAGAGTCTTCCTTCTCCTTCCAGGTAACGGCAAGATCAACAGGAGGCAGAGCATGCTCTTCTAATGCTCCATGAAGAGGATGCTCCATTGGCTAAACTTCATCACTTCCCAGCAACCTCTCGCATGAGCCCACCTCCCCTCGGAGTGACGACCCCCTCCCCTTAACCTGCACGCACACACACACACACACAAAAACACACACACACCCCTCTGAGCGAGTGACTCTGAGTTGAATCTATTTGGAGACTGTGTTTATTTATTGGGGGGGCAGGGTGAGGTTGAATTTTTTGCTGCTAAACTACTACTGTCTGTATTTAACACACCGTGTGTGTGTGTGTGTGTGTATGTGTGAGTGTGTGTGTGCACGTGATGTGAACTCGAGACGCCATGCACAGTTGAGCAGTCAGTAAGGTTCCTGTTGTTCTTCTTCTGACTATGATTCTCCGGCTTCTTTTGAGTTAGAATTCAACTGATGTTGATGTCGACGCTGTGATCCAAGTTGTTGTTCTTGTTGTTGTGCTTGGAGACTGAAAGCTTCAATTTCTTCAGATTTGTTTTTGTTTTTTTGTTTTTTAAATATGTACATCTACATATATATATATTTGGAGATTATGTTTTGTTTCTCTTCGAGCTTCCGTGACTGAACTCTTCAACATTTCCAGGTTTAGAACGGCTGGAACATTAGATGGTGTTGGATGGAGGGAAAAAAACTGGTTCCTCTGGATTTCCCATCGTCGTTTTTCCAAAACATTTCAGATGGACTCTGTTTTCAGAGGGCCCGCTGCCCTCCAGGGTTACAGTCAAAGTCAGAAAGCATGACCGTAAGTGGACTGACAGCCGAGGGGTTAAAGAAGCACATGCGGAGCCCAGTCAGCATGAGAACATCCAACTTTTGGTTCTTGGGTTCCTTTTGACCGTTCTGGCTCAGCAACGGGACCAAAAGTGAGGCGTAGGGGAGGCAGACAGTTGGGAAGACTCGCGGAAAGATGATGGAAGAGGAGCACAGGAGCTGGAAACAAAGTCACGTGACGTCCCACAGGAAGCCAGCAAGCCTTCCCTAAAACCCCTCTCACTAAACTGCCAGGACTTCACTGCTTGTTTTCTTTTTTTCTTCTGAAAAAAAAATGCAAACTACATTTTTCCTGCTCTGTGTACATTCAGAGATCTCACTGCAGTAACTCTTTGTTTTTAACTTGCACTTCAGTGTGTGTGTTTTTTGTTTTTTTTTCCTTTTTATTTTTTGAATCAGGGACACAGGCCTGGACATGGCCAAGTTTACCCAACAGTATTAAGATATGTTCTCTGTGTCTGTGACCTTTGACCTCTCCTTGTGAAACAACAGTGTCATTGTGGCATGTTTTCCGGAGGTGGGATCGCGTGTTGGAACTGTTCATAAAGCAAAATGGTTATTTTCCACTTGACGTCGGACCACTGCCCTCTCCAGCATTTGTACAAACAAAAAAAAACAAACAAAAAAAAGAGATTTCAAATTGAAATTTTAGATTTAACTGCCCGCTGTGTTGTTTGCAACTGACAGTGATGCTACAGATGATGAAGCCTGTTGAGAAGTCTGCTTTTGAGGACATGTTTACTGAAGCAAATGGAAGATCTCCCCTCATCGCTGTTACAAACGTCTACTGCTGTGAGATGCGTTCCTGGTTTACTTTAGTTGCATTATGTTATTTTTCTCATTGCTGGATCAACGTCGGTGTGGCCTCATGTGGTCCACATGTTTCCAGGAGTTTCATTGCTTTCAATTAATCGTTTAACACTTTGGTAGATATGAGGTATTGCAGTAAAATGGGAAAAATAATGCAAATTTCATGTTCGGATGCTAAGTATTAATCTATAGCAGCAGATTAGCTTAGCTTCATTTCACACAAAGACCTGAAAACAGTTGGAAATAACTGGCATAATCTGCCCACCAGAGCCTGTAAAGCTTACTAATCAGCACTTTTTATCCTCTTTGATTACTGAAGTGTAAAAAAACAACAAGTTGCAGTTTAGGTTATGTGCTGGGCTATTACATAGCGAACTGTATTGACTTCAACTAGCTAATAGTCTGGCACATAACCCTCTTTAATGTCACAATTTGGCATTTTTACACTTTGTTTTTTGTACACATGTAAGACTACTGAGCTTTAGAGGTGTTGGTAGGCAGATTTTGTTTGCATGCAGAGCTAGCTTTTTTCCCAGATTTCAGGCTTTATATATTTAGCTAAGCTAAGCAGTCGCTGGCTCCAGCTAAATGTTTAGCGTACACGTGTAGTATCAATCCTTACATCTGACTCTCGGCACAAAAGTGATTAGGCACATTTTCAAAATTTCTATTGAAGTATTACCAGTAAACATCTAATTTCCGTTGAAAAACAAGCCACCATTTTGCAACAAAATTCAACAGTCACATGGTGGAGAGCAGTTTCTACACTCACAGTGATAAACATAGAAGTGAGTGCATAAACGTCACTAAACACCACCAGGAGGGCGCCGACCATCACACAGTGAACACGAAAGAGGATCTGAGGGAGGTTTTCCACTTTGTGCATCTTGTTTGCTCAACATTTAAAATGTCATATTTATTGACTGTTGAGATTTAGAGGTTTTGTCTGAGCGACACTAGAGTTCTCTGTTACAACATACTGAAAAGTGCTGCAGGCACTGCTAATGCTTGATAAATTCATTAATAGCATTAATTAACTTTAACACAGTTTCCAGCTGGTAGTGGAATAATCCTGTAAACATTCTGTGTTTTAGTGAACTACGGTTCAGTCCACACACGGTTACAACAAACATACTGTGAACAGCTTACATTTAAAACAATCTACCACTTAATGTGTTCATAGAAAGAAATGCAATATATTAGTGGTAGATAGCTTGAAATGTGTTGACCCATTGCTCTACAATTTGCCCCAGAGCACCTTTAAAAATGAATCCTTCCTGCCCTCATGTTGTGTATCTACACGTTCAAATGTTTCACTGGAAAGATTTCTGAACAATTTCTCTTCAGTCAAACGTAAGGATGCAGGATTATTTCCCCGCCAACCGCAAACTGTGTTTCTGCTAATACGACTTTTTGTACACGAACAGCAGTAACATGCACGAAAGGAGATTTCTGTAACAGCTAAATATTTATCATTGTTAAACTGTACTTTTTCAACAAAAAAAAAACGTATGAATGACCTAATTTTATGTGAACATGTGTGAGCGTGCGTGCGTATGAGTGTGTGCCTGATGCATGGAAGGCCTGCTGTGTTGTGAACTCGACCTCTCTGAAACACTGAGCTGCCGGTGAACAGTTGGTGTGTGACTCTTTTTACTGGAACTATTTATTTCTCATAACCATCGAAAGTAAATTTAAACTGTTTCATAAACGCTCTGTGCAGCTGTCGTTCTTTGAATCGTGTTATTCCCAAACTAAAAATGAATCCACTAGTTCAGAGAATTCATTCATTTTTATTCCAAAAAACAGTAAAATTCTTTTTTTTTTAAAAACTGCTGAAAACAAGCAAATCACTGAGAATACACTTCCATTAATTTCACTATAAAAATAACCAGGAGCCGTTGTGCAATTGTGACCTGGCATGTCTATTAAAGCTTAACACATTTACATTAATCTTACATTATGGAAGGCACAGCTGGTACAAGGCTTAAAAAGTACAGTGCATTAAAATAAATTTGGGGAAATTATACAGAATAAAAACAAAAAAAAAATCAACTTCCACAGCATTTCAGCGCTCTGGCTAGCAGCTGCTCTGCTAGGAGTCAGTGAAGGTTCCATCTCATGTTCACATTTCCAACTCAAAGAATCAAGATCTGGACGTTGTGTAACAATAATCTTGAGACCTGCAACATCCAAAATTGTGCAAATTTGGGAGATTTGGTCTCTTAAAGGGAAGTCTGGGCACAGGAGAAAAGCACGATCTCGTCAACCTCAAATTCTTTACTGGCCTGCGAAGCCTGTAGCGTCTAATTATCCAGTTATAATTCCATCCTGATCAAATGTGGGGAAATGCTTTGCTTTCTTTGCAGAGAATGAGATGAGAAGATTGACACATCGCTCATATCTGTGCAATCAATATGAAGCTGGAGCCAGGAGGCGATTAGCTTAGCTTAGCATTAAGACTTGCAGTGGGGGGGGAGACACCTAGTTTGTCCAAAGGTAAAATCCACTTAGCAGCACCTCTTGAAGCTCATTGATTGTAACTGTATATGCAGTTAAATGCAGCGAGGAGCACACAGACCTATATCTATATATATATGTAGGGGAGAATAAACAACCACTCAAAGCACAATACAAGAGAGCCAGCTCCTCAGTCACTGAATCTGCCAGTCAACTTTCATTTATCAGTTAAGCTGATCTTTTAGCTGCTGCTAGTTGGATTTTGTTACCTTCTGACAGAACAAAGCTGTCTGTTTTCTGGTTCCTCTATGGTAACAGTCTCCTGGCTGTAGCTTCATTTCATGCGTACATTTGTCAGAGTGTGAACAGTCTTCTTGTGGAACTCTCACCTTTTGCAAGAAAGCAAAATTTTGTCCCACATTTAATTGTATGGCAGCACAACAAGCACTTCTGGAAGCTGTTCTTGAGTCCACTAAGAGAAGTTCCTGTCATTCTGGATTACACTTGTACATCTTTCTGGCTCAGTGAGGGATCATAATCTCATAAATCCTGACAAGGACTTCCTCGGATCTTCTTCGTTTGAGTCAAATGTGTGGATATGGAGATCAGTCAAGTCAGGGGGAAAATAGCAAGGGCATTCATAACATGTTAACCAGTCTATATCACTGGTTTGACACAAAGTGGAAGGAGAAGGGTAATAGAATGAGATGAATGTTGAAGTCTGGCCTTCACTTATTTCTTTGTATGAAAAGAAATTTAGGTATTTATGTGCTGAAAAAAAAACAAGCAAAAGACCAAACACAGATGTTAAAGTTGACCTGCAGTAAACAAACATAGAAATAAATGTCCAATGCAAATACTCTTCTCAGAGAGCAAAGCTTCAGAGTGAAGCTCCTGTTTCTTCCGTAACAAATGCAAAGGAACAGGTTTAAAAACCAAATGGTAACTGGACTCAGATGGAGTCCAGATCCCGTGTGGTTCATCTTGACAGTTTAATGATTATTGGTTTGGTTGGGATTTGTGCCCAGCTCTGGCTGCTTTGGCCCAGTTTGCTCTTGGAGTTCGGTCTGGCATCAGGACTTGTGGGAGGTGGAGGAGAGCAGCAGAGGAGAGGCAGCGTCCACGCTGGGTAAAGGCATGGGAAGGGGTCCATTCAGCAGAGTGGGGAACTGCAGGGAGACAGGTAGAATTAGACGTGGAAAAAAAAAAACTAAACAGCAATGACATTTTAGCTCCAAACACAGTGGTGCACAAGGTTTTTGGTTGTTATTTTGTTAGCAGGAAACTTCAGAGAATCTGCACGAATCCTGTCAGATCTCTGGTAGAAACTTTCTTAAATTGTACACTTTACATCAAAGAGAGTGTTCAGAACCTGAGATGAGGTTACAGGCTGCATTTCTTCTCCCAAACACTGTCATTTGACACTTTCCAGGAGGTGAAATGAAAAATGAAAACGCTAAATCAGGTCGATATAAATTAATAGTAGCTACAAGGACATTTGAAATATAACCTTGGCAGTGTTAGCATCTTCTAATACGTGGACTTTCCTTCTCCAACCAACCGAGGCCCAATGCAACATCCATCCATCCATCCATCCATCCATTATCTATACACCACTTAATCCTCACTAGGGTCGTGTGGGGCTGGAGTCTATCCCAGCTGACGAAGGCACACTTAGAGACAGACAACCAAGCACACTCCAATCCAACAGCTGATTGCAATATTTGTTTGTGTACGTTTTACCACTGTGTGAAGAATATACTGTGGGATTATGGCATCTTTACCACTTATGTTTTTATTTCCTTCTAATTTGGGGCTCCATATGTTGGCAAAGAGGTGGAATGTGAGTGGAGATGAGACAGGCCATGCAAACATCTCTGATCCATTCATCCATGTCGTATAACGTAGCTTCCTGTCACTCAAAACGGCCATGACCGTAATTATTTAGAAACTTGATTACAACTTAAACTGTTGCAATAAAAATCCCCCCTGTACAGTTGTCATGAACGGAAAAATTAGCCATATAGACCAAAACTGTTTTTCGTAACAGGCTGTAAACATGTTTATTTCTGCTGTAAAGTTGCACAGTTTAACATGGGGGTCTATGAGGATTGGCTCGCTTTTGGAGCTGCCCTCAAGTGGACATTTGAGGAACTGCAGCTTTTGCTACTTTCACATTCGTTTCCTTTTTCATCCCCAGAACTCGTGTGTTCAACCACGTCAGAAACAGAAGAAGTGGATATCCATTTTGTCGCACCAAACTGTTCCAATAGCAGGTGAGAGAAGAGTAAGAGCTCAAGAGAACCCCGTTTAAACCCTTCTTGCTTTCCCTCCTCTGCACAGCTGACCAGTAATTGCATGCTGACTTACTGAGGGGGTTTCTGGAGTCATGCATCCACGGCTCCTTCATGTTAGGATTTGTTTCCACAGAATCACTGTTGCTGCGGATGATGAAAATGAATGTTCTGTCCAAGCTGGTTGAAGTTACATCAAGAGATTTCTCTATTTTCCACAGCACTCATGTTTGGTGGACAAAGTAGATTTTAATACATCGTGAGCACTTTAAATATAACAGCGCGTCAGTGTTGAGGCCAGATCCTGTCGTGGGGAATACAACGCTGGGCATTAGACGCTAAACAGTATATTTGGGGGGTTTAGTGTGTATTTGTGTGTTTGTGCTGGAGAGCTGACATGGGTGGGAGGAGCTCCTGACCAACTAACCCTCTCCTTTTCCCCCCCCGAGCCAACAGGAAGTTGCCCCCTTTTCTTGTCCACACCAGAACGGAAACATCTGTAGCTTATTTTGAAACCCTGGCACACGGTGAATCACGCACACACACACACACACGGAGCCGCATGAAAACAACTGCAGAGGTAAATCTGCAGTGTGAAATGACTATAAAAGGCCTGTAGTTAGGAGGGAGGGACTTGCTGTAAACCGAGGTGGCTCGTAAGCAGACAGAGGTTTTGTATCCATCATCACCAAGTCTGTTTGTCGTTTTGTCCATTAGAGCCATTAGAAATGAAACCGCTTGAGATGTTTTTTTTTTTAGAACACACTTTACGGTTTTGTGTAATTATCCATAAACATGTTTTCCATCATTTCAGAGACAAAACTGGGGCATAATCTGAGTCGGTCGCATAGATAGACTTAGGAGAACCGGCTCACAATGAAGTGGAGAAAAATAAGCAAAATCCTTCAAGGGGAAGATGTTTTAACTCACTTTATCCTCTTTAAGTTGGAACCACCCAAAAATTAGCAAGTATTTTATCATGGGCTTCACCAATTATTGGCAAAATGAGTTTCACTTCCAACAATCAGTATTTTTCAGATTATCTGGCGTTTTTTATAATCAGTTCCCAATAAAATTCAATAAATTAAAAATGCTCTGCTTCGGCTCTGATGCAGCCTCCTCGTTTTATCTGTAATCACTCTATTGTCTAAAGTTAAGCCCCGCCCACATCACGATCTGATTGGCTGCATGTCATTAGTAACAGCCAATCAGCCCTGGAGGATAAATGTTGAAAAGTTTTCTTTTAATTGAACAGATGTAAAACAAATATAGACAAATACGCTTCAACCAAGTTTGGAGTTTGTCTTATGAGGAATTTTGACACAAACACTTTTTTTTTTTTTTTTTTACTGCAAATCAATTCCAGCAGCAGCTACCAGTCTCCTTAAATACCAATGATCAACCCTGAAAGAACCATAAGGATGGACCCCCTAATTTAGACAGTGACACAATAGTTGTAATGTTCCCTCTGTACACCGCAACAGTGGAGCGATCAATATGTGATTAAAGTCAAGACTTTCAGTTCATGGGTTTTAACACTTAGGAATTACAGCCATTATTTATCTGATTCCTCCATTTTCAGAGTTCTACATAATCAGACAGTGGACTGATCGTATCCAGGTGTGGCCTGCTTCTTTGTCGTTTCATGACAAATTAAGGAGATAGAAGTCTGGAATTTGTAACAGAAGAAGCCACATAAGCTACTTTTGAATAGCTATCGGCACTTTTTCCTCACTGCTCAGTCACATGGCTCCTCATACAGACTAGTTTGATGAAGGTTCTTCTGTCTGACTAATGTAGGTTCGGTACAGGCAGAGGATAAGATTAGAGCTAGTTGAGCCTAATAGGGGTTTAAGGATTGCTGGCAGTCATTAAAAAGTCCTCACATGCTCAGAGACATAAATAGATGAGTGTTACCTGGAAGAAGGGTGCGTGGCTCTGCAGCTGGGCGGGGCTCAGGGGTCCCACCGGACTCAGGCTGGACCAGAAACGGATATTGGAGAGGAGAGGACTGGGAGTGAGCAGCAGACCAGACGGAGTCTACGTAGACAAAAACGAAATGTCAGGGGAATGAATACGACGGGAAGGAGCTGATGGTGTTTGTTCTGGCCGCTCACAGCCGGCGGTGAAGCCGTCATGTCGTTCCGTCTCACCCAGAGCTCAAAGCCAAGTCTGCCCTCTAGTGAACTCGCATGGAGCAGAGCTGGCAGACCGTCTGCATGCAGCCTCATGCACTATTCATGGCATCTATTTTCTGTCTCTTCTGTTTAACTAAGACCAGCTTGGTTTGCTTTTCTACAACAGCCAGGAAATAAAAGGTGCTGGAACAACAGTTTGCTGAATACCTTTGTGTTCGCATCCTCACAGCGAATATCAGTGCAGCCGCTGAGTTTGTTAGAAATCCTGATTTGTTTTAGCAGAATGCACATTATCAAGGAAATCTTTCCAAGCTGTTCTGTCAGGTGTGCCCCGGTTGCATCTGGGTTTAAGGTGCTGACCAATCTGAGGACATTTGTTGCATTTCAGTCGTCATGTCTCTCCCTCCTCGTTCCACATCATCTCTCTAGTCAGAGCATGAAATCTTAGAAAATCAGTTTTTCATGTCTCAAACTCTGCCTGTGAAAAGACACAGACCTATGTTTGATCCTATCTCATTGCCAGCCATCGATCGTTGCTCGGTCAGGTCATTTCTGTAAACCATTTGATGTTTTTTTTGTGTATTTCAGACCCAGATGAAGCCCACAGCCATCAAAGAGCAGCAACCCTCACAAGCTGCTTTCAGGTGGGATTTTAAAGTGAAAATGGGGGGACAAGGCCTTGAAAAGGGTCCAGACTTCTGAAAAGCATTCCCGTGATTGAAATAGAAGCTGTAAATACTAAAACCAAAGTTTTCACATGAGCTTTATGAGTAATGAGTGAATGGTTTAGCCTCCACTTTTATTTTCCGTCAGTGATGTACACACAGCGGCGTATGATTACTCAGTCTGGATAAGAGCGTCGGCCGAATGCCTAAGTGTAGTCAGACTGTCCTGGTTTGGTCAGTGTGTTGTTGCCAGTGAATCAGGAGCTTCAGGAACATATGGCTTCACTTATGAACCTCCTCCCTCCCTCCCTCGCCTCCTCCTTTCTTTCCGCTCACCTCTTTCCATCTCCTCCCTGTCTGACTTTCTGTACTCGGACTCTCTTGGTCTCACTCCTCACCTATGTATTTGTGAAGGCCGTAGTGTGTGTGCAGTGGTGCTAACACGTGTTGTACCTGTGTGGTGAGGAAGGTGGGTGTCAGGGACCCTGAAGGTAGCGCCGGGCTGTTGAGGGCGATGGAGACGAGGTCACTGCCCGTCAGGAGCAGAGAGGAGGAGGAGATTTCCAGACTTTTGGGTTTTCTGCCTTTCATTGGCGTGCCGTTGGCCAGTCCCCTCCTCTCTGGCGTCGTTGTGCTCTGTGACCTCTCCCTCTCCCTCTGCCCAGATGACAGGTTCAGAGGCTGAGCGTTTAACTCTAACTCATCAGCATCCGCACTCAGGCCCTTCCCCCTCCCCAGAGTGTGGGCGGGGCTTTGTGCCGGGGAGGAGGAGCAGGAGGAGGAGCCGGCCAGCCGAGGAGACAGCCCGGAGAGGTGGGAGTTCTCGGCGAAGGACGGGGGTGGGGTGGAGGGGAGGGAGGAGTGGCCACGGTTGGTAATGAATCGGATGACGGAGGAGCTGTCGTCATGGCGGTCGGACCTGGGTTCAGTCTTGATGGGCCGGTGTCGCTCCAAGGAGCGCTGCAGGGAGCTGATGCTGAAGGAGGAGTACAGGCCAGAGTGGAGGTACTGGTTTCTGTCACCGCCGTCCTCGTCCTCGGCCTCAGGCTCCGATGTGGCACCAACACTCTCCTCACTGCTGCGACCTGACTCCACCACGGCCGGGTCCATCTTCAGGATCTCAGGGAACGACACAAACTTGTAGACAAACTTCTGGCCAATCACCTTCTTGATGATGTTCTGCAAAAGAAACAAGATGAAATGTAGATTAATTTAAAACAGTTCTGGTGTTTTAGCTTCACCAAGACATGAAACCACTCAGACTGCTGTGTAGTTTAAATGTACAGTTGTGAACAGAAGACAATGTATATCATAGAAGTTTCCAATGACTCAAGGTCTTTAAAAGTTAACGCTTGTTCACGGTTGCGTACTTTGTCGTAGTAGTATCTCAGCGCTCTGCTCAGCTTGTCATAGTTCATGTTGGTTTTATTCTTGCGCAGCCCCCACAGCTTGGCCACTTCCTCGGACTTGAGCAGCTTGAACTCGCCGTCATTGGACGTCCAGCAGATGAGATGTTTGTGGCTTTGATCGAGCAGCAGCTGCAGCAGGAACTGCCAGAGAGTGATGGAGCTCTCCATGACACGATGACACCAGAGAGACACCGGAGACCTGCAGGCGAGAATCAGGACTTAATGAGAGAAGTTCAACCATCACGTGTTGCTTTGACTAACCAAGAAGGTACAGCATCCCCAAGAAGGATGTCGGGATACAATGGCCTATATTCTCCTACAGGAAACTCTACAGGATGACTACGACTCTACTCCTGTGCTGTGGCTCAGGTGGTAGAGCGGGTTGTCCTCCAATTGCAAGGTTGGTGGTTCGATCCCCTCCACAGTCAAAGTGTCCTTGGGCAAGACACTGAACCCGAAGTTGTTCCCAATGTCAGGCAGCAGCTTGCATGGCAGCTCTGTCGCCATTGGTGTGTGAATGGGTGAATGAGAAACACATTGTAAAGCACTTTGGATAAAAGCGCTATATAAGTGCAGACCAAGCAACTTTCACATGACAGCTTTTGGTGGTTTTGGTGGTTGATTGCCACCTTTAAACTTATAGCAACATGACCTAAAAAAGTTGCTTTGGTTCGCAAACACCTGCCTGTTCATGTGTTAAGTAGACATGGAGCAACACTAGCATTCATTTGAAAATATTCTTCTGATCAGCTTGTGAATGTGAGTCAAACATTAACGCTTCTTTCAACCATGTTTTGGTCTCTGCTGTCTTCTGAGTAAAACAGATGGCTCTTTAGCTGCTACAGGTTCCACGGCACAGTAGGTTTATCACAGTTTCTTACTAAAGAACTGCTTTAATGCGAAGTTAGACTAGACAGTAATAAGCAAAACACAACAATGAACTAAAAGAGGCTGAAATGCTCAGTTTAAAGAGCTAAACTGCTGAGTTGAGTGATATTTCTATGTAGATTTGTCAGTGTGCAGGACACTTTTCACATTACACATATTTTGTTGATCCAATGTTAATATAAAAAGACTGATCAGTGCAGCTTTAAAATTTACTCCCTATGAAATAAACAGTGTTTCAGTTCAGTGGATGTGAAACCTGATGCATTTGTTGATGTCCCTGGAAATATTATCAAGAAGTCTAATTAAAAATTTTTAGCTCAGGGAAATTAATCATTAGAGGATTAAAAACAATGAAAAAATACACTACATAGAATGTCTACATACAGTATATAAGCTGTCTGGTGTGTCTGAAATTTCACTAATTTCTCACTTGCTAAGACTCACATGATGCAGAAGACATAAAGACACATATAAAGCAGGAAGAGAAGTGGTGTAGGTACGTGGGGAGGAGGAGGATTGTCAGTGTGAACTCAAATGTGGATTCTTCCTCAGATGGAAACTCCACTGAAAACCCCAACACTGCTGGTCCTTTAATTCGTTTTATTTCACTCAGACTGTGGTCTGTCTCACTAAAGAAGTAGTTTCAGGCTTTTGCAAATGCATTTTAGAGCATAACTAGTTAGCTCTTCTTTAAAAGAATACACTCACATCCTTTAAAACAGACATCAACTGTTTGGTTACTTTTACTCTAATGGCAAACTAGAGGCCTTTAGAGACATTGAAGTGAATGTAAAAAGATGACCGACTTTAGAAAACTTGTTTTAGTGAAAGAAGATTGGCTCCTTTGCTGCCGTAACTAAATGATAGCACTGATCTGAAAAGCTGCTGTGGTTAGAGTGTCTGTAACAGGAGATACTACAGATACCGGTGTGAAACTTCCCCCATCACTTACAGTAAGACTATATGCAATACAACAGAAAGTTTGTATTTATATGCGCAAAGCTATGCTATGAATAATATATGTCTGTGTAAAAACCTTCAGAATATTGACAAGAATAGTACTAGAAAGTTTTGTGTTTGTAAGTGCTATTCTAATAGAGATTTCCACATCAGACAATCATAAAGAAACGACCTTTAAAGACGTGTTTTGTTCAGTTCCATGCATTTCTGTTGGTAACCACTATTTATAGATAAAATTAAAACTAATCGATGTTATCATGAAATGTCTCAAGTGTATTATTCATATTAAGACCAGACATTTTTTTGCATTCAATCTGCAAATGAGGGTAAAACTTAATAAGTATAGGCTAATTTGCACAAATGTCCAACAGGCAAAATGTAGTGAAAGAAATACCGAAATATGCATATTAGTCATTTTCATGTTTGAAGAAAAACATCCCCAAATCTCAAAAGTGACCAGAGCATAAATAAAAACATGTTGTGTCTCACTTTAAATTACTTCTGCTCTTTTTTTAAAAACAAAATCTGTATGTACTTATTTGTTGTACTTTCACTTTGAACTGGCTGGTACAGTATTCAGACGGTGTGTATTTGTTTGTGTTTTTACCCCTTCCTGGTGCAAGTTGTGACCAGACATTAGAAGTGTACAATACAATATGTGTGGGTGGAGTTCATTTTTTTCAAAAAGATGTGCAGTTTCACCCATGTTCCATTTTAGTTTATATGCAAAACAACACAAAGGGCTCTATTTATATTAATTTGCTTCAAGGCTGCTTGTTTGCTGTCATGATATTTTTTCTAAATCGGATATCATTCACTCCCATTTGTTTCATCTCTTGCATGTAACAGAGAAAGAAAGAGCGGTCCAGACGTTGGTCGGCTTTCAGATGTTTCCATGGTGATAAAGCAGGATGTGGTCAGTGACCTTCTGCCAAGACAAGCCTAACCAACGTGTTTACCTGGAAACCACCGACTGTCTGTCAGCGTCTGTTTCGGTCTCCGCTCTCAGATCAGTATCTCTAAAGTGCCAGAGTGCCACACACTGTATGTACTGAGAAAAGGGGAAAAAAACAGCTAATAACTGATTAGAGGCAAATTTAATTTGCTGCCATGACGACATGACAGTGCATCAGAAATCCCCCTGGTAACTATTACATCTGCCTCGATAATGGAGAAACGGTGGAGGTGAGGACATGGCAAGAAGTGATGATGGCTCTGAGTGTGTTTATTAAAACAGCGTGTGGTTCAGTAAAACCAGAGTAATCAATTCAGTCTAAAAATACAACATACACGTCTGTCTTTGTGTCTTGGCTCTGATGCAGGAAACAGAACAGCAGAGAGGGGGAAAGTGCATGTGGTGCAAACAATGACCCAACACCATGAACCCACACACAACCAACCCTATTCTAGCTTCCTATTTCCGGCCTGGGTGTGTGTGTGTGTATGTGTGAAGGGATGAAGTAGTGATGTCTGTCCGTATGTCTGTCTAAACCAGGGCTTCCTGTCATTGAGCTACAGGAGCGTCATTCCCGGTGAGAGGTCTTCCCTGTCCAGGAATTCCTGTCACTGGGAACCACCGGGAACAAACAGTGTCTTTGTTTATATGAAGACCACTGTTAACACGTCGTGGATTTAGATGTTGTCTTTTTTAGAGCACCACCTCAACACACACACACACGCACACACACACACACACACACACACACAGACCTACATCAGCAACATATGGGGAATACATTTGTGTCCTGAAGTCAGTCTCTGATCTATGAACACCCTCTGACCTTCCAACATGTCTGAACTTGAGAGAAACAAAGCAGCAGGTAATGATGATTTATGGGGTTTCAGAATCAGTTCACTGGTCCTCTAAGTCAAAGCTCAGAGTTTGACTGTCTGTGAACTCTCTCTCTCTCTCTCTGAGCTCACAAGTCATAGGTAATCAATACATAAAGATTCTCATTCTCCAAATGTGAATCTATCCGATATCAGCTCAGTGTCATCTGTGCACTCTTTAATCCGGCAGACACAAACCAAACCACGCATGACTCTTCATCCATTTTCTCTGGGTTGGGTATTTCTTATGTTTGGAAATATGTCTGTGTGTGTGGAGAGGGAGCAGGGGTTCTGCTGGAACTCAAACGGTTCTTTGTTTTGCACCAGTGACTCATTTTCAAGATGTTGTCTGCTGCCAGCTTCAATCCGGAAGCGCATGGCAATTAGTCTGCGAGGTCCAGACAAACCAGAAAGTCTACTACTAGATTTTTAAAGGAGCCACGGCTGATTTTTTTCCACAGAAGCTGGTACACTAACCTCTTTTTTATTTTTATTTCCACCCCCAAATTTAAACTCCAAAAGTGTTGTTTGTTTCAGGGTTTGTTACAAACCGGAGACCGCTAAAGGCGCGGCTTTAACACCTTTACGCACAGACTAAACTCATTTTACGCACAGGTTTAACAGTTCACGTGCGGCTTTTATGCTGTTTTGAAGGTGTCAGTGGGTTTCTGATCGTTGTGAGGCTTCAGTAAACACACTAACAGCTAATTCAGATCCGCTTCTGTGTCTCCATTACGCACAAGTGCGCACACACATAACTTCAGAAAGTTGTAGATAGAAGGAAACATGGCACCTACCCAGCTGTGGACGGCGGCTGCTCCTCTGTCGTCTGCCGGTGCGTGATGTGTGCGTTTGGGACTTTACAGCGGTGTGTGTGTGCTGTGTTGGGGCTCCATGCTGCTGCTGCTGCTGCCCCGCTGTCTGAAAGCGGATCCGCAGCTTTTCTCTCTCCTGCCTCAGAGCAGGAAGTCGGGACGCGCAGACGGAGAACGGGCGCACTTCCTCTGGCGCAGTATTCCCGTCTGTGTAAACACACACACACACACACACACACACACACACACACACAATCTCTATTTCCCATAAACACACCCCCTCTTTTAACCACACTCTCTCACGTACACACACACACTCAGACCACGGGGCCAAGCCACGCGCAAAGCGGACGCACACACACACTTTCTCTGCACACACTTTAACTCAATAGCCCACAGGCAGACTCGTTCTTTTTGTTTCCCCTCAGACGCTCTCTCTGCCCCCCCCCCGCGCACACGCACGCACGCACACACACACACACACACACACACACACACACACACACACACAGATATTGTAATTGTGACTCTACTCAGCGCTGAGCCAACTGACAACTGACGTCACCCTCTTCCTGCTCACCGGGAGGGGTTCCTGTTCCTTCACACACTCATTCACTCACACACACACACACACACACACACACACACACACACACACTAGGTCAAGTTTGGGCCTTCTGGTAACTTTAAAATGTTGCCCAATCTTTGATTTTTATTAAATAAAATGCATCATATTGTTCAGAGGAATGAATCAGTTTCTGAACTCTGACCGGCTGATCTGTGAAAGCAACTGCATACAGAAGTGAATGCAAAAAACTGTGTTAAATTATTAAATAGAGTCATAAAACTATCTGCTTTGTGCCTCATTTGAATCGTCACTTCCAGTTTCTTTGTGCATGCATGTGTTGCCGTCTCTTTTTAAACTTTTCCTCCTCTTGTTGTACAGCCCGTCTTCCCCTTCTGGATGTAGTTTCCTTTGTTCTCATAAAAATGTAAACATGTGCAGTTGGCTGCAGTTGTTTCAAAATGATGCACCAGCAGAGCAGAGCTGCTGAATATTCAAACACTCAGCTGGAGAGGAAAGGGCCTTCCAAAGATTGTCTATGTTTAAGAAGATAAACTGTACCTTCTACCTAAAACAGGGGTGGGCAATCCTGGTCCTCGAGGGCCACAATCCTGCATGTTTTAGATGTTTCCCTCTTCCAACACACCTGATTCAAATCATCAGCTCATCATCAAGCTCTGCAGAAGCCTCATACCGATCCTGATCATGTGAATCAGGTGTGCTGGAAGAGGGAAACATCTAAAACATGCAGGATTGTGGCCCTCGAGGACCAGGATTGCCCACCCCTGACCTAAAATGTCCTGCAAGCAGATAGAGAAGAACAAAATCCAGTGAATCACTCTCACAGCTGACAACCAGTAAAGGCACCGTAAACAATGTGGCAAACAATGAACTTACAGGTTGCCAGGCAGATGGAGCATATAAATGAATCCGATCTATAATCAAATGATTGTTATCTGTGATTCTAAATTGGCTGAGTGTCCCTGTCTCTCTGTGTTTCCACTGTGACGGACTAACAACCTGTCCATGGTTTAACCTACTTTTTGCCCATGTCAGTGATGATAGCCCTCTGTGACCCTCCACAGGGTAGAACAGAAAATAGATGAATGATAAAAATCTCTTTCATACAATAAAGTACAGAAAATAAACAAACCCAGAAGAGTTCCTGAACAGTGAGGTTGACATGTGTCGGATCTGTACAAACCAACTCTACATTACGGACTCTCCTGTTTATTCATAGTCATAGTGGCCTTAAAGACCAATATTTAATGTATCCTCGATGTCTTGCCAGAAAAATGCTTCACCTTTAACCATGCACCATCTGGTACAGGTTAGAGGATGCACATGAGTTAGATTAGAACTCTCAATCAATCAGAGGCTGAGACATCCCAACTTTTAGTCTCCAAGTTGCTAAACTGCTAGATTTCCCATTATGCAACTCAGCAGCATCATTTATAAGACTTTGTTTGGTTAATATTCTTGTATCCAACCAAGTTTGTGGTCCCAAAACTCAGGCAAAGATCACCAGGACATTTTTTCAGATGTTAGAAAGTTCCTCAAAGAGCCACAACAGACCGTGTAGACTGCATGTAAAGTGAAGTTCATGTGTGAATAACATCACCAACAAAACCAGTACAATCACCAAATAGCTCTCTGCATTGTTTAAGTATCAAACCACTCCATGATGTAACAGATGTTCCATTTTAAATGGAAATCTGAAACAATGCAATAAGCAAACTTCAATGGATGCAGCTTAGGACTCATAAGATGTGACTGTTAAATAATGACCAATGATTTAGTTCCATTTTTATCTTATTTATGCAAATTTTGAGCAGTTGTTTTGTTTACCAAATAATTGGACAGTTTGATTCCGGCTGCAGGCTGTGGATCAGCTGACAGAAGCCCAGTCTGATTCTGACCTGGAGTTTAAACTGATGTGTCAAAAGTTCATTCTGTCCTTCCCGTGCCACAGTGGCACATTTTAATTAAACCTCATGCGTTAAATGCTCCATCACATGTTTCAACTCTATTACAAGGTGAATATTGAACTGGAGCACGACTTTTTAAATTGACCTTGCAGATCAAATCGCAATATTTCCCAGAAATCTGACAGATCTTCCAGCCCTGAACTACTCTGCATTTCCTCAAGTGTTGGTTTGAGTGAAGCTGAGCAGAGTGAGACGTCTCTTCAGGGTCTCTGATGCCCGCTTGGCTCCGCCCGACTCTTTGAAACGTCAGCAGCGCCAAACTTCAGGCTGCTGCTGGTGAAGATGACCACTGGTGTGGAGGAGCCGCAATGGAGGAAAGTTCACTCCATGACAGGAGTGATACCACGGTCCAGACACGGACACCGTGCAGCTGCAATCCGGGAATTAATTATTGTTTTCGGTGGTGGAAACGAAGGGATCTCTGAGGACCTCCATGTGTACAACACGGGTATGCTAACGTTAGCTGGGCGCTAACTAGCGCGTTAGCCGCTAATGTTTTTAGCATGCTCAAGAGGGAAACGACCACACAGGCTAACGAGCCCTCCGCCAGGGGCTGACGTTGTTTGTCAGAAAACAACTAAATTACAGAATAGTTTTGGGTTCAGTGTCACAGGTTTGTTATTGTAAAGTGTCCACTAAGTTTAACCGGATAATGCTACTTCAGCTGGCTCACTTTGTTAACTTTTTCTCCGGTATCTAGTTAACGATGTCATTAATTGTTATGCTAGCTGGCAAAACAGACGGACGAGCTAAAAGCAGAGCATAGCAAGAGGTCACATCGCTTGTTTCGCTGTATCGTTACCATTTAACTCTAAACTAATGCATTTCAAATAAAATAATAACTAAAACACACGAAGATTTAAACTTACTGTGTAGCTATGAGTGCTAGCAGTGTTTGAAACTCATCATTGTAGTCAGGTGCTGGTTTAATGTTCTTATTAGTCAAAGCTTAGTTTGCCCAAAAAAGTGATGGTCTGTCCAATAATGGTTACCCACTGTAAATACACGTACAGCTGCTTATATCAGGCTAAAACAGTCGTTAGGATTTTTTTTGTATTTATCCTAAAGCAATGTGTCTGCATTATTTAACCTGAATTATAAAATAATCCAGCTGTGATTAAGTGTTGAAGTAGCTCCAAAGGAACATTTGAACTCATATAAAGCAGTTTTCTGTTTGTCCAAAAGTGGCAGCAGCCTCCTCATTGGCACTGAAATTACACAAATGAATCAGAACGACTTGATTTCATTCACGAGTTATATTTTAATGATTATAGTTCATAGGATAATCATAAAAGACACACTAACTTTATTTTGTACATAATGCCATTCTGTACATCATGTTAAGTACATTCATTTACAGCCTGAAGGTGGATGAATATTACAGTAATGCCAGTAAACTGTAAATGTCAGGCCCGATTACACAATAACCTGCAAACATTTCTTTGGTCACAATTATTAGGTTACACAAAGTTCCACACAGACTAACTTTAGCTACGACCACAGACTGGACGTTCTGTGTATTCACACATTCTGATTGTTTGACCCAGATAAGCAGCTCGATGTCTCTACACCATGTGATCAGTTTTTGACATAACTAGTCACATAATATGTTGTTGAGGGTGTCGTACAATTATAAATGATTGTTTTTTTTTTTTGTATTAGAAGGCCTGTTAAGAGGGAGGAGTGGTAAAATGGAATGCATACATAATATCTTAGAGCAGTTTTGTTGGTCTAACACATTGGCTGATATCTGCCCATCCTTCCAGTCTCTAAGCAGTGGTTTCTGCCTGCGGTGAGGGGCGACATCCCACCAGGCTGTGCTGCCCATGGCTTCGCCTGTGAAGGCACCCGAATACTGGTCTATGGTGGTATGGTCGAGTATGGGAAATACACTAACAGTCTCTATGAACTACAGGTACCACATTTCTTCAGTTGAGATTCTCACCCTGGTGCTGTTATGTAGATCATTTTCAAATCTCCTCCGTCGTCCTCAGGCAAGTCGCTGGCTGTGGAAGAAGCTGAAGCCGAGAGGTCCCAGAAATGGATCTCCTCCGTGCGCTCGGATTGGACACAGCTTCACTCTTGTGGGCAACAAGTGTTACATGTTTGGAGGGCTGGCCAATGATAGCGAGGACCCCAATGGCAATGTACCGAGGTACTGAGCACATAGATCTTTTAAAAGTTGTGCATGAGCGGGGCAGAATGTTTGTAAGTTGATGTTTCTCTTTGATTGGTGGACATGAGGGTGGTTTGTAAGATGACACTGATACCAATTACAGACAGTGGACCTGTTCATAATTTGAATCTGCTCGATGGGCATTGCTCTTACTTGAGCTGTCACCCAGCTTTTCACTGTTACAACCAGGCTTAAGTCTGATTATGCTCCTTCACGCACTTGCAGATGGGGCAGCTGCAGACACAACTACGGACGCGTAGCTGTTGTTATTACACTATTTTTCTAGTCCATGGAAGTCTGCTTGGAGGACCCCATTGCATACATGTGCAGCAGGTCGTATCTACATTTTCCATGCATGAACACAATTGCCGAGACTGTGCACTGTTGTCCTTGTAACACTGTTGCTTTGGACAAATATTGTGCTGCACACAGACGTCTGTGGAGTGACCCATGCAGACTTACTGCAACCTCATGTTCTTGCAGACACAGAAAGAGTAATACAGGCCTCATCCGCTCAGAGAACTCCGTTCCTCACATGTGGAGTGGCCGAGTGGCCTAGAACGTAATCTAAAAACAACACCTTTGTATCCGTGTTCTCTGTGGCTGTTTGTGTACACATCCGTATGTGGGGGCATTATCAAGGCATGGCTGACACTTCACTCTGGAGAGCATTGAACTCAATTACATCAAATGGTTACACCAGATCAAAGCTGAGTTTCTTTTCTTTGCAGAGTATCCGTTAAATGAAATGCTGGTGTGGTTGAATGAGTTTGACTTGTTCCATTTTAGGTACCTGGGAGACTTCTATGAGTTGGAGCTGCAGTCAGTATCAGGGGCCAAATGTTGGAACATCCCAGAGACGAAGGGTCGTGGTCCTTCTGCTCGTGAGTCCCACACCTCAGTGGCCTACACTGGCCTCGGTTCCCCAAAACTCTACATCTTTGGAGGTATGCAAGGATGTCGGCTAGATGACCTCTGGCAGCTTGATCTTGGTAGGACTCTTCTTTATTTTTTGCATTTTATTTACAATGTGCATGTATCAGGAAGGAAAACAGAGAATATTTGCATTCTTTACATGCTGCTTTGACTTGAATGCTAAACTCTGGTGGGGTTATTTGCATCTCTGGATGTGGAAATGCTAACAAGAAGCAGCAGTATGGAATATTTAGACTTCTTTCACTTCATCCCTCTTTCTCCTTCAGACACTATGGTCTGGTCAATGCCAGAAACAAGGGGTTGCACACCACTTCCCAGAAGCCTTCACTCTGCCAGTGTCATCGGAAACAAGTAAAGGATTCTTAATTATTGGCATCATATGTGCTTGAGTGGATGTCTAGTTTGTGTGTGGCACCAAACAAGACTTGCCTTCAACAAATTAAAGCTGATAAAGTGCTCATCTGTCTGCAGGATGTATGTTTTTGGGGGCTGGATTCCTGTTCAAGAGCCAGACGAACACAATGCTTTAGGAACCGAATGGATCTGCAGTAGCTCCTTAAATGTACTCAACTTAGGTTAGTACTTCTCTTAAAAGGTTCCTGAAAAATCATCCTTTCTTATATTGTGAGTGCTTTTGTAAATGATGAGACCTAGAGGTATGATGCTTTTTATAAATCTGACCCATGGGTTGTCTGCGTCTTTCGTGCTGGCCTGCAAGTTCACTGTTGCCTGGTTTTTCTATTACAGACACTATGAGCTGGCATAATCTCAGCCCCGAGCAGCAGGATGATCTTGAGGCCCAGCTGCAGAGCCAGGGACCACAGAGTGATGATCCATATGCCTGTATGCCCAGAGCCAGGGCCGGACACTGCGCCACCACTATCGGGTCCAGACTTTACCTTTGGAGCGGCCGCGACGGATACCGCAAGAGCTGGAACTACCAGGTCTGCTGCAAAGATCTGTGGTACCTGGAGACAGGTGAGGGTGAGAGGCAGAGGAACAGAGTGGAGAGAATCAAAATCTGTCAAAAACCAAATGTAGTCTGACATTCTCTACTCCGGCTTCAGATCGACCGGCTATCCCAGAGGCAGTGTTGCTCATCAAGTCCACAGTCAGCATGCTCCATGTGGCGTGGCGCCCCCTGGCTGCAGCTGACTGCTACATCCTGCAGATCCAGCCTGTGTGTCCACCCAGCGCCGCCGTCAGCGATCCACTCGCCAAACCAGTCGGTCCGACTGGAACAGATGGGCAGAATGGGAAGGACAAGCACCCTGCAGGTGAGAGCGTTCAGTTACATCATCACTTTTTAAAATGTTGAAAGAAGTTAGATGAAAGGTTTTCTCTGTGGAGCTGATGGTTTGTTGAGAGCACAGCACAGGATGCAGCAAAAAAAAGCAACAGATTCTGTGCCATTAGGTACATGAGGAACAAATGCCATCAGCAGTGAGTCATGGTTTGAATGTTGGCCAGACTGGACCTTTGCTGCATGTTGTTCCCTTGCTCTCTCTGTCCATATTTTCTGCCTCACGTCACTGTCACTTGCATAGAAACGATTGGTAAAAGACCCAAACTGCAGCATACATAACATAGTGTGGACCAGAGCGTCTCAAAGTCCAGACCTAAGTTCACCTCCAGACGAAGCAAGTTGATCCAGACCCAGCCCAAACAATTGACTGATTATGTTGCTCGTGTTGACACTGACATTGTTGTAATGGCGACGTTAACAACCAGGGAAAGTGTTGCGTGTTGTTTCTGACAAGTTTGCACATTAACATAACACCAGAGGATTGTCCTTCAGCTCCTAAATTGTGGAAAAGAATGTGTCTTGTTTTCTTCAGTACATGATTTCTACATCTGAGTGTAAACGTAAGAACGTGTGTGAGTCAGAGATAACTGTAGACAAACTGCCTGAGCTGTGTCGGCCTCGGTTTCATGCTGACTGACCACAAGAGAGGGGATGTTTGCAGCGTAATCACGAGTTCAGAAGTCACACTGATGCAACTGATTGCAGGGAAATAGTGCCGTTTCTCCATCCAGGCTCAAATGTATTCTGACTATTTTCACTGAGTTGATCAAACCCTTCTTTAGAACATACTTTCAAATTTTCTTTCTCAGGCCTCCAATCCCTTCAGCGTCGAAATGAAGGAACCACCAATCGAGAAGCATTGGCTCAGGTAGGCGTGCCTTCTGAACCTGCTTTAATCTGTAAATCTTATCACGTGTTCATACACCAATGTTTAGCATCTGATATACTGAACAGAGGAGCTGACCAAACACAATAATGTCATTGCTGTTATTTTGCAGCATATTTAAACACACTGAAGTTGTTGTTTGTGCTTTTTGTGGTGTGGACTTTAGGGTTTGCAGACCTGTTATGTGCACCAAAAAGCTTAAACACATTAAAGGAAGGAGAAAAATCATAATATGGGCCCTTTCATTTAACAGATGCTCTTATCTGCTGCCACTATAGTAAATTAATAAAGCTGCACAGATTTAGCAACATTTTAAGTTTAATTAAAAATTAATATTGTGGTATTGAGAACAAATGAAACCTGCTACTGCAATTTAAAATGTAGTTTGAGATGGAAATAAGACTGAGATCGACGTTAAATGAGGACTATATTACTCCAGAAGGACTCATGCGTTGTTTTTGAGTCAGGATTAGAACAAACGAGGCTTGTGTTTCCCATTGTTTCCTTGCATTTCAGGATTCTTCAGTGCAGCAGGACACTTCTTTAAAATCTTCAAATGGCTCAGGAGAAACCCGAGCAGAGGGATTGAGGAGTGCCGGGAGAGTCTTGGACGAGGACGTGAAACGCTGCAGTGAGTTTTGTTGTTAAGTGGATACTGCGTCACCCAGACTGACTGTTACGCTCCCACAAAGTCAATCGGAAAGCTCAAATCAACGTACTTCATCAGATATGTGCTTTTATAGCAGAGCAGCCGTCCAGGCTGAGCAGTCCAGTCCTCTCACTTCTGTTTCTCAGCTTTGATCTGCTAACATCTTCACTCACTCTCTGTCTTTGTGTGTTCGCTGTAGGTGCTGGACAGGAGACATCAGTAACACAAGTGTGCAGCTCAGCTCAGCATCTGCCAGGTAGTGATGATGCTCAAGTTCAGATATCAGTGATAAACCAGACGGCCAGCAGTTGACTAAGGAGTTTAAAGAGCGTAAAGTTCATGTGGCTGTGTTTCTTTTTTGCTTTTTACAGACAAACAGCTGGTTTCATCTGACAAGACGACAGATCTCTACACCCATGCAGATCAGGTCAGATCCACCTCTGAGCTTTAATTATCGTCTCCTTCACTGGGTTTGTTTGAAACTGAAACTATAAACCATCACTTTCAGGTTCAGCAGAATCCAGCTGAGGCAGCGTGGTTTGATGTCGGTGTGTTCAAAACACTATTCTCTGAGGTCAACCACTACTTTCTGCCCGCTGACAGCGACCAGGTGACGTCGGCCGTCAGCAGCCGGTCCTCGAATGCTAAAGAGGTAAAAGCTGCACAGAGAAGGTGTTGATGTAGACACCTTGAACATGACATACAATCATACTATGGTGTGCTTATTCTTATGAAGTCCCACACCCACATGTCCTCTTTCCTTCCCTTCTCCATCAGCTGTTATCCCAAAGGAAGCTGCCGGGGCCTCAGGACTACCAGAACAGGGAGAAGCAGGATCTTACTCCAGGTCAGACCTACAGGTTCAGAGTTGCAGGCATCAACTGCTTCGGTCAGGGCGACTTCAGCCCAGTCAGCGAGTTCAAGACGTGCCAACCTGGTTTCCCTGGAGCGCCCTCTGCTGTCAGGATTACCAAGGTGAGCGTAAAGCACATTAAACACTTGTTTCCTCCTGGCACTGAGAGGCATTTTTGAGTGAGCAGATCTCAGTTAGACAGCTTGAAGATGTCACTTCACAGCTGGAGTTAGAATGTGTCCTAGTGTCTAGTGACCACGTGTGATCAGGTCTCACTTTCATGCTCTTTATGCAAACGAACATGTACATCTAAACTAAATGCGTTGCGCTGAAAATTAAAATAACCTTTTTACATGTTGTTGCTTGCTGTCACACTATGAAGCTGTTGGCACACAAATATAGTGAAGGAGGCATCCAAGTCCACCCCCTTCTTCTGACTTCAATTGCTTTCAAAGTATTAATTGCAATGAGGTGAAGCCAGTTGTTTGTCTTTTCAGTATTGGCAAGAAAAATAATTCCGATTTTTAAAAAAATCATTTTTGATCATAGTTGGGCTACAATCTGCATACAGCTGTGTGCCCATCTTCACTATTGATTACTCATGTGTTCATGTATCACAAGAAAAAGCAGAACTGAAGCGTTGTAATTTTCCTTATTGGTACATACCGAGATAACCAGGTTATGAAGTCAGAACCAACTTTTGCAAAAGCTTTCCTCACTTCCTGCTTGTCAGTGGGCAGTGGGGGAAACATTTGCCTGGTTTGACCCTTCTGCAAATAGGCTGCTGTTTGTGAACACTTAAGTAAATAAAATGTTAATGTTATTTCTGTCGCGCACTAAATACATATTTTGTTGTAATTTCTAAGGCACACAGTACCCACCATCACGGTTCAGATTACGCCAGATTTCAGAAAAAGTCCCTACATAGTTATGAAACAATGTTTTTATGATGAGACACATGGAAGAATTTATAATACAGTATTTTTCCTCTTGATATGAAGGCAGAGGAGAGACTCAGCTATTTAGAAAAAAACTAAGACACAGCCTGTATTTCTGACCTTTAGCTGACCAAGATAAAAGCTTAAAAATGAGTGTAATGAAATTCCCTGAAATGAGCCTTCTATGGTTAATGTGACTCAGGACACATGCCTGTACTCAGTGCTGAAATAATGTGGCTGAGCAGTCAGATCTCCGTGTGTCTGAGGATCATTTATGTTTTTCGTAATTCCTGGTGTGAACAAAGCCTTTCACACACAAAGCAATTAAAGTTATCAGATTATCTGGGGAATATTAGTTTACTTGGTTTATTAATGTGCTAGATAATTTCCAGTGAAGTATGTGGTGTACTACATTTTATTTTGTGTTTTTATCTTATCTGGTTTCATTTTGCTTTTTAATTCTTTTAATAAATTGTTTCTTTGTAGGCCAACGATTCGGTCCACATCACCTGGGAGGCTCCCTCGTCTCCATCAGGCCGGATCCTGGAGTATTCCATGTACATGGCGGTGAGGAAGAGCCGCTCCAACAGCTCGGAGCGGCCGGGTCAGATGGCCTTCATCCGCATCTACCGCGGCACCAAGACTTCCTGCTCCGTCAGCTCCTCCCACCTGGACAACGCCCACATCGACAGCTCCGCCTCCAACCGTCCGGCTGTCGTATTTCGCATCGCCGCTAAGAACGAACAAGGCTACGGCCCTGCGACGCAGATCCGCTGGATTCAAGGTGGAGGAGCTTCACTTTTTAAAAACTTTCTGCTCATTTTTTACATTCACATAATTTTAAAAGCAGATTCCAACTTTGATTTTCTGGGGTTTTTTTTTTAGATCCCATTAAAATGCGAACATCTGCATCCAAAGGAGATAGCAGCGCTGATGCTGACCTGGATGCTGCTGACAGGTAACCACATAAAACTGTCACGTTTTAGCTCGTGCTCCTTTAAAAGTGGATTTGTTCAAAATTGTATTGAATTGTTTCCGTTTCCTCCTGCAGCTCCAGCTGAATCAGTTTGGACCAGTGACTTCATGTCTGAAGAGAACTGTTCACTCAGGAAGTACGCCACGCAAATGTATATTTCCAAGATAGTTTTTTTAAATTTATTTTTTTTATGTATTTAATTTTTACCCTGTACATAATTTTTCACAGGATGTTTAACCACTTTGCTATTTTAGTTAACAAATGTTGAGGGATGATAATATGTGATCCGATGTAGCAGTTGATAATAACACAGTAACTCTTTAGAGGCTGAAGGTGCCTTCGTGATGTTTTCACCACCCACTAATGCTTTTTATGAATGAACCACATGGGGGAAGAAATGTTCCAGGGCCACGGTGGATCATATGAAACTAACTTTTTATAGCAGAGCCCTTTTAGAGGCCCACAGATACAGCGAAGTTATGAAACAGCAGGATGTTGTGCTGAAGTTTAACCAGGTTTGCTTTAATTCTTTGTTCTTAAGTGTGTCATTGTACTCAGCCATGTTATCTGTATTCATTACATGTTTGCATCCCTTCTCTTGGTTCATTTTTATTGTAATTAGTTCATTTATCTCATAATCTATCAGATAATTATCAATCCATTTATTAGATGGTTAAAAAGTATTGTCATTAATGCAAGATTATTTCTGATTTGAACAAAATGAGAGCACGTCAAAAGGTCAGTTTACGATATTCATTTAGTAACGTCTCATATAGAACATAATAGTACAAAAAGATGCAGTACAATTAAAGTTAAGTTGAACCCACAGATGATAATACTGCCTCCTCCTCCATCCTATTTAGACCCTAGCTGGTGTTGGACAGCAGCACACTGCCAATCCAATCTGATCTGAAATATTTCAAAACCATGCTTCACTTTTTATTTTCCATCCCTCTTCATTCTCTTGCTGTGAGAGGATTCATTGTTTGTGCTTGTAACCATGTAATTTCATCAGGCAGCTGTTGTTATCTTTGTATAATCTACACTTGATCAAGCTGCAGGCTCGTTATTTTCCTTTAAGATTTATAAAGATAAGAGTTAAAATAACAGTCCCCGTGGATAATTTTGGTCACAGCAGCAGTAAGCTCTCAAGCAGAAAACCATAATTATAAGTCCTGAAGAGGAAAATTTCCAACACTGCATGTATCTCACTCGTGTCCACACCACAGATGATCATTTTAGATGCTGCATGAAGGTGGATTTGTTCTCACTGGGAACAGATTTAGTTGTTAACAGGGACCAGTAGAACAACATGCATTCTGTTTTTTGAAAGCAGTTCCAAAGAGAGTGCACTGAACATGTGATGACAATCATTGCTGGAAATGTCTGGATTCCAGTGAGTTAGTTGAAGCTGAATCTATTGTCACAGTCTCTGACCATTATTGTGGACAGGCTCCTGAGCAGTGCAGTTGTTATTGAAAGTGACACTGATCACTTTCTTTGCCTTGATTACTCAGATACAGTTGTAGATCAGAGCAGCCTTATCTTTGAGAAGAAAATAATCCGGATCATGCTAGGATGATTCATTCTTTCCCCATATTTACCCAGGTCATCTGGTGAAAATTCAAATATTGTGCAGCCCTGGGTATAGCTAGGCATTTTTACACTTATGTCTGCAATTAAAAACAAACAAACAAACAAAACATGATCAAATATATGATGAGGTTTTTAACTGAAATACAAAGAACAAGTGTAAAATGTTAAACTGAACATGATAAATGTGTATAAAGTTAGGTTATTGGGGTTTAATGGAGATGTATTTGTTAGTAGGTCATCACAAACTGTATGGAACTATTAATATGTTCACACTAAAATGCATAGAGCCAGTATTAAAGTGTTCACTGAAGTAACCTCTTCATAAAGTTTTGTTCAAGTTGTTTACCGCGAGAACTGCATTTTGGGAAACGACTCCCATGATGCAACGGTTTGTAGTTTTCAGATTAGCAAGCTAGCAAAGTAAAGCGAAAGCAGGAAAGAAAGGAGTCGAACTTCAGGAGGTAAGTGGCTCTCGGAAGTCAAAGGCATAAGCTTGTGAAGAAACCCTCACAGTACGTCGTGGGTTCGTTTTCCGCTGCTAGAACCCCAAATATGCAGCGTAATTAGCCCTGTTAGTAAGCTAATGGCTGTTGTGCTGTTGTACTTGGCTTATCAAAGTTAGCTTGTAGGCTGATGTTTAGCTAGCCGTGTTAAATTCAGTTTAAGTTGAGGTCGTTTGCATTAGAACAACGAGAACATCTGTCTGACTTGTGCCTCTTTAAACTGTGAAGCCCAGAGTTTGTAACGTAAAACAGCAGAAGCAGCTCGTGTCCGATAACGGGCGCACGGAAGGAGCTAGCTGGCTAGTTAGCATGTTAAGTAGCGGGAGGAGGAGCGCGATATTTAAAAACAACTGTGGACAATGATAGAGGTCAGTTTGAAGTGTTTACATTTAAATCACCTTGAGACCATAAGCAGTCTCAGAATATAATTATCCTAACTTATGTCTCCAGTGTACGTCCTAACTTGTATTAACAAAAAGGCAACTGGCAATAAACCTCAGCCAGTGCTCATATTGTTTATTGTATGTTTTGTGTCACTCGCTGGACTTCTGCATCAATAAAGGCGTCTTATAAAACTCCAATTAATGATGTCCTTCTCGCTTTTTGAAGTTCATCGCTGTGTAAATTTATTCCGATTATAAACTGCTATTCTGAGTGACTCTGGTCTGACATTGTCTCCATGATAAAACAGGAGGCTTCATATCAAGTGGTTCCGTTTTTGTAATCACTGTATCTACAGCAGCAGAGGAGCTCACTAATCACTTGAGGTTGATTCAGAGCCTCGACAGCTGAGAGGTTGTGATGTTAACAAGCAGCTGAGGGACTCCTCTCAAAGCCACCATGGTTACTAACTGACAACAAAGCCTAATTTTTGCTCTCCAGAAGGACTTTCACTGTACTTGGAGAGAGTGCAGGCTCTCTTTGGCACATTTAACACCAGGTGTTTTTCCTGACAGCCTCGATTTCTTTCTTCGCAGCAAGCACTTCGCTTGGTTTACACAGCTTTGTGGTTTCGCCTTCTCCTGTTTTTGGCTCTTCTCTGTAGAGGTGAGATGACCTCCTCCACCCTCGGCCAGTCGGCCCCTCTGGTCCCAAACCTGGAGCCTGGGATGGGGAAGTCTGCAGCCATGCTGGGGTTGTCTGCTGGACTCGGGGGAGCAGAGATGGAGCTTCAGAAGATGCTCATCGATGAGAGGATGAAGTGTGAAAACCACAGGACCAACTACCAGACGCTAAAGGCTGAACATGCCAGGTACAGGCAAACCCTAAGTTGATAAGAAGTGTTTTTCAGTCCTTGTCATTTGTTGTAGGTTACTTAATGGATATGAATTAACAGGAAATGTAAATCAAATCCTGTAGTGAACACAGGATTAGTAAACTAGCAGTGTGTGTGTGTGTGTGTGTGTAAGGGATATGGGAATAAAATAATCTCTTCATGACCAGCTAAGTAACAACAGCACTGACACAGAGGCCATACCTCAACACAGAAACAGAAAAAAACAATAGAGAGCAAGGACACTGTAATATAAAAGTGCACTCAGGTCTGGTTTTCACCATAAATACTTGAACTCACAATTTGTAATGGCATTTTGATATGTGTGGAAAGCTGTGATTATTACTGTCATTGATAATAATAATAATAATAATAATAATGATAATAATATTTGCAGCCTGCAGGATGAGTTCACGCGGGCGCAGGGTGAACTGAAGCGCCTGCTGACTGACAGACAGACTCAGCAGGAGAAGCTGCAGCTGCTGCTGGCCGAGCTGCGAGGAGAGCTGCTGGACAAAACCAGGGAGCTGGAGGAGCTCCGGCTGCAGGTACGCCTCGCTGAAGAGGAGAGAAAATCTCACACTGCAAAGCTTGTCCTGTTTTTTTTCCCCCTAAATTTTGCACATTTACATTTGGTTAACCAAAGGTTGGCGCTTACGTACACTTACCCAAGCAAAAAGTGACATTTGGGATTGTGAACTGACTTTCTCATTGCAAATGTGTGTTTTGACCAGGTGATGACTCCTCAGCGGTTGGAGCTGCTCAGAGCTCAGGTGCAGCAGGAGATGGAGACTCCAGTCAGAGAGAGGTTCAGCAAGCTGGAGGAGGTCTGACCGTTTACTGTTTTCAACAAAAATAGGGATGGAATAGTACAGAAATTCACACCTTAGTATGTGCCTTTGTTTTGGTTCATTTGGATGTGTTTACCTTGTTAGCATGGTGATAATGTGGTGATTTTTATTTGGTGGAAGACACATCATGAGCGAAATAAGCAGACAGTGGTATGGCGTGGTAATTCCACTATAAAACTGTAATGTACTGGTGACAGTCTCAAAAACATGGATTCACACTTCCAGGGTTTCATATAACAAACCGTACAGGGTGGGACGTTCTGTATCAAGACTCTACTGAAGCATCGGTTTCTGGTTTTAAACATGTCTGACTGAATTACTCCAATATTAAAACATGCTGTTGCGTCGTGCAGAGTTGTAGGTGAGCTTATTTTCATGGAAAAAACCCTCCTAACTATTTAACTGTGATACACTAAAATTAGTTTGTAGGGGTTTGATCAACAACTGGAGAGGAAATGTAAGGCAATCAAATGCAACATACTGCCAATAAGAAAAAAAATGAACAAATATTAGTAATGCTCCATTGTTAGACCTGTTTACTAATGAGTATAAAACAAATGGAAAAAAAAAGCATCAGTGAAAACAAGTGTAACTGGGGAGACTCTACTGCTTAAAAGGCTAAAAAGTGTAACTCATAGATACCAACATGACACTTCCCCAGTTGACTACTTACAATAAGACAGATTTTTTATGTGTTACAGTTTTTCTGTAAGTGTGTGTTTGAGTATGCAGATGCTGCATCTAAAATGTGCCTAAATGTGTCTAAATGCCCTAATTTGTATTTATATCTAGAACAGAAATCTGAATATTGATAAAACCTGCTTCTGAATTTTTGTTTCATCTCGTCAACATATTCAAAGATTTTATCAAAAGGGATTTTGGATAACTCTTTTTTTTTTTTTTTCTTTAATCACTCCATAAGTCAACAGTTGTTGGATGCAGGGCTCCAGACTGCGACCAAGTGCGTATGTTATAATTTCAGCTGGTCGCATTGGTGCGAGTGCAGGATGATCACGAAGCTGTATTAATGTCACTGTAACTGGCACAGACAGATGTTGCGTTAACCACAGTGGTGGACAACAGTACTTTAATAACTTCAATGTACTGCTGTATTTATGCTTAAAAATGCAGTCTTCTCGTGAAAAACGGAGCACATGTAGAAGAAGTCACTCAGTTTCATCTCGGACAAATCTGACATTTGAACGCCCTAGTTTACTCTTTTGAAAGTCATTTTGGTCACACAACTGTTTGAGCAACACCACAGATACCAACAGCAGCTACCACAGCCTGCAGTGTGGGGCGTTCAGGGGACATCGGGAGATTGTAGGGTCTGTCGATGAAAAAATGTTGAGCGCGTCGTTATTTTTGCCGGTGACAAGTTGGGAAGTGCAACCAAATGAGAAAGTTGATTGCATCGGTGTTACAAGTGAAAAAAGTTATTCTGAAGCCCTGGTTGGGCGGAAAGTTTTTTTATCTAACTTCCTGATGGCAGCTTAGATAAGAGCATGGTTGTGTAAAAAAAAGGAGTTTTCTTCTCACCTCAGCATTTCAAGCCTTCAGTGCAAAACGTGTTGCTGCAGCACAGACTCCAGAGCTAACGTTAGCTACCACAGTCCTGCTGCAGGCACACTTTGAGTTTACACTGATCTGTGAAAAATGCCCAGATAAATATAGATGAAACATAAACACATTTGTTGTTTCAGGTCACGTATGTGTCTGTTCACGGATTCAGTCGTCATCCAGAATTTATTTGAACTGAAAAACTTTGCTTATTGTATCAAATATTCGCTATGTGATTAAAATGTGATTGATCAGCCTCTGATTAATTAGATTAACTGTTAAAACTGCGTCCCACCACTAATTTAGATAAAATCATATTTACATTTAACAGTATGAAACCTAACTTATTAACTGCAGTTGTGCGTAACAAAGATGTTCTCAGTGAACAGATGTGGATACACTAATAGATTTCTGATGTATTTCTTTCCTGGAAAAGCTTCACTGATGAAGACGCTGAAGTTGAAGCATTGGAGAAAAATGCTAGAATGCTAGAAGATGTGTTTTTTTCCCCCAAGAAGTTTACTCTTCTAAATTATATCACTCAATGTAATTTGTTGTTCATAATGGCTGCAAATAGCTTCTACTGAAGAACAGCATCACTGCTATTATTCTTTAACACTTGCTCTAAGTTGGCATTACCAGCTGTGTCTATAAGTCCGTAGCAACAGGCAAGAGATTAGCATTGATTGGCCTTTGAAAACCATTTCAGAGTGTGTGCGCTTAAGAGACTGGCAGCTAATTTCCATTTTGTCTGCTTGATTGTTCGTTCACTGCCCCCTCACTGATTAGCAGCTGATGTGTCTACATGTGGTTCTTGCAGGAGACGGAGAAGTACAGGTCTGAATTCAACAAGCTGCGGTACGAGTACACCTTGCTCAAGTCCCAGTTTGATCACCAGAGAGAAGAACAGGCTCGTGTCCTGGAGGAGAGGAGGATCCGCTATGAGGCAGAGGTGGGATGTTTGTATTTTCTTGTTTCGGTTTTCCAAAGTGAATCACTGTCATCAAATTATTTTAATTTGTTGTGATGCACTGACATCTACATTAATGAAAAATTCTTAGATTTCTCGTCTGGAGAAGGACAGGGAGGACCTGGTGGCTCAGTATCAGGGTTCAGACGCACT